TGTGTTGGCTCACACCTGTAATCCCAGCATTTTGGGAGGCTGAGGCGGGTGGATCACAGGGTCAAGAGATCAAGACCATCCTGGCCAACATGGTGAAACCCTATCTCTACTAAAAATACAAAAATTAGCTGTGTGTGGTGGTGTGGTCCTATAGTCCCAGCTACTCGGCAGGCTGAGGCAGGAGACTCATTTGAACCCAGGAAGTGGAGACTGCAGTGAGCCAACATTGCGCCACTGCGTGACAGAGCGGGACTCCATCTCAAAAAAAAAAAAAAAAAAGCATTCACCAGTGAAGCCATCTGGGTGGGGAATTTTCTTTTTGGGAAAGTTTTAAACTGTGAATTCACTTTATTTAATAGATAAAGAGATATTCAGTTTATTTCTTATGTGAGCTTTGGTCATTTGAATCATTCAAGGAAATTATTCATTTTTTTAATTTATTGTCATAATGTTGTTCATAATATTTCTTTTTTATTCTGGTGTTTGTAGGATCTCTGGTGATGGCTCCTCATTCATTCCTGATATTTGTAATTTGTATATTCTCAGTCTGGCTGCCTGAATGTTTATCAGCTTTATGGATCTTTTCGTAGAATCAGCTATAATTTTTCATTGATTTTTTTCTCCGCTTTTTTTCTTGTTTCAGTGATTTTGCTCTTATCTTTACTATTTGCTTCCTTTAGTTTGCTTTGTGCTGACTTTTCTCCCTTTTCTAATTTCTTTTTTTTTTTTTTTGAGACAGAGTCTCACTGTGTCGCCCAAGCTGGAGCGCAGTGGCGCAATTTCGACTCACTGCAACTTCCGCCTCCCGGATTCAAGTGATTCTCCTGCCTCAGCCTCCCAAGTAGCTGGGACTGCAGGTGCATGCACCGCACCTGGCTAATTTTTGTATTGTTAGTAGGGACGGGGTTTCACCATACTGGCCAGGCTGGTCTCGAACTACGGACCTTGTCATCTGCCCGCCTCCGCTTCCCAAAGTGCTAGGATTACAGGCGTGAGCCACCATGCCCGGCCCCCTTTTCTAATTTTTTAATGTTGATGCTTAGATTATGATTTGAGACCTTACTTATTTTCTGTGCATTGAAGTATGCTACACATTTCCCTCTGAGTACTGTTTTAGCTGTATGTCACAAATTTTGGTGTGTTATGTTTTAATTTTCATTCAGTTTTCTGATTTTCTTTGTGACTTTTCTTTGACCCCCATTAGTTATTTGAAAGTGGACTTAAAAAGTTTCCAAGTATCAGGGGATTTTCCAGAGAGCTTGCTTTTATTCAGTTCTAGTTTATATTCCGTTTCAGTAAGAGAATATAATACGTTTCTGTTTTTTTGTGTGTTTGTTTGTTTGTTTGTTTGTTTGTTTTGAGACAAGGTCTCACTCTGTCGCCCAGGCTATAATGCAGTGGCACGATCATGCCTCATTGCAGTCTAAACCTCCCTGGCTCAAGTGATCTCCCCACTTCAGCCCCCCGAGTAGCAAGGATTCCAGGCACATGCCACCATGCCCAGCTAATTACAAAAGTTTCTTTAGAGACAGGGTCTCACTGTGTGGCCCAGCTGGTCTCAAAGTCCTGGCCTCAAATGATCCTCCCACCTCAGCCTCCTGAAGTGTTGAGATTACAGGCATGAGCCTCTGCACCTAGCTGGAGAGAATATACTTTTAATGACTAAAGTGTTTTTAAGTTTGTGAGATTTATTTTATGAGCCATCAGTTAGAATTTTACTCTATAGGTAAGTGTATATATTTTAAATTACGTTAATTTTGAAATATGTATTGCTAGTAGTGCTAGTGTTGGAAATTTTGCTTAGCTCTCTGAATTAAGTCATTATAAAAGAGTTTCTGTGTCAGCCATGAATTGCTGAATAATCCTGGGTTTATAGTAACATTTAACATATCTCAGCTCTTCACAAAATATATTTTGGTATGTATTTTCCACCAAAGTATAAAGAGTAGCAGCTAACTTGTAAAGGTAATTAAATTAATTTTTTTATAATGAGCTAATTCACTCAGTGAGGAGCACATAAGTGCTTCTAATTTTATATTGAATGTTATGATGATTTACATTTAAAATGAAGTCCTGTCTTTGCAGTTGACAAATTACGCTCTTGACCAAAGTGCCTTTTTTAATTTTCATTTTTTAGCTGATTTCAAATCATTTGTGTTACCGTCTCACAGAAAGACAGAAAAGGAGTGGCCAGTTGCCAAATCATTTTTCCCAATAAAAAGCAATATGGATTTGGTTTGCTTGCTAACTCTGATAGTCTTAAATCTTAATAATTATGTACTTTGATGAAATTAATTTTCTCTTAATATACATATGTTGAATATTATTCCACTGGAGAAGTCCACATATAATCACAACAGTAAATTATAATGTGTTATTGAAGTTTTCTCACATACAGGATATCTCCTAATGTATGGTTTGTGTAGGTGACTATCAAACTCAGATTGCATTCCCTAAGCACTTGCTAGTTTGGCAACACAGCTGTAGATTATTTCAAGAATGTCTATCTGCCTTGCTAGTCCTTGGCACTTGGGAATTTTCTTGCGGTCCCCTTTTTCTGTGGTTTCACCCACTCCTTTCTCTTTGCATTTTTTCTATTTATTTCTTCTTTCTACCTCTGAATATGCTTAGGTCACTTGTATTAAAACACAAACAAATGCTTCCTTTACCATGTAAAACACATTCAAAAAGTAGTCCATGCTTGTTGCTGTCACTTCTTAACCACCGTCTTATCGGCTATTTTTCTATAATATAACATCTAGCTTGTACCCCCTGCCCACCCCTCCCCCATGCCACATTGTCAACAAAAAGCCTAATGTCCTAATTTCAATTTAATGATTTTTACTCAGCTTTTATCTTCTTTGAACTGGCTTGACAGTTCCTTTTTTTCTCCAAGTCTTTTGTATCCTCTGAGATGCTGTCCAAACTTCAGCTGATATTTATTGGATGTGCGTTATGAGCTAGAGTTAGACTCTGCTAGGTTTGTGAGCATTATCTTTCTTCTAAGGACTGTCATCTGACCTTGTCTGTTTCTCATACCTTCATCCATTCTCTTCCATGTCATCTCTTTTACTCCTGTGTTACTCTTTACGTCTTCCCTACAGATTGATCTTTAAATCTTTATCTTTGTCCTCAACCATTTTTATTTTTATTTTTTTGAGACAGAGTCTCACTGTGTCATCCAGCCTTGAGTGCAGTGGTGTAATTTTGACTCATTGCAACCTACACCTCCTGGGCTTAAGTGATCCTCCCACCTCAGCCCCCCAAGTAGCTGGGACTACAGTTGCATGCCATCATGCCCAGCTAATTTTTGTATTTTCAGTAGAAATGGAATTTCACCATGTTGCCTAGGCTGGTCTTGAACTCCTGAGCTCAAGTGATCCACCCTCCTTGGCCTCCCAAAGTGCTGGGATTACAGGCATGAGCCACCACACCCGGCCAGACTAATATATTAATTTCACTTCTGTAACAACCAAAACTGCCTCCATTACCTTCTACAGAACAAAATTGAGAGCCATTGGCATGTGTTTTAGGATATTCCAGAATACGTATCCATTCTGCCGTTTCCAGTCTTTCTTGCCATTGCTCTATTATATGTGCTTTATGCTCTAGTCTAGCTGGACTGCTTTAATGTTGCCAGAACACTCTTCATGTTTTACCTGCTTGGAGTGCTTTCTCACATTGTTGTACTTCTCTATTATGCTTCCCTACTTATCTTCATCTGTGAAGCTCCTATACATTTTCCAAGTCCAAGCTGCCCTAAATATTGTAACAAGGTGAACCTTCCTGATTCTGAACTCCCATTCTCTTTTGTAACATTTACGTATTGCTTGCCATGTTCTGTCTGGAATTCTAATTGTGATTCATGTTCAAAATACGTTCTTGAACATAACGGGCTTCCTGATAAATACTTCTTATATCCAGGTTTAAGTTCACTTTCAGTGCTGCCATACTGTTCCAGTGTTTTGGTTGGTTTGTTTTATGGAAAACAGCTACTTTTTATTTTATTAAAGCTTTGAGTTCTGTAATCATTCAGTTCTGTTTTTGAGATTGGTTGTTTGACCCAATTCTAGGTGCTCAGATTTTTGCTGTGTATATTAGATATCTGCTCTACGTAATGAATTAATCCAAAACTTGGTGTTTTAGCACAATAAACTTTATTATCTTGCGGTTCTGAGGGTTAGAAATTTGTGAGTGGTTTAGCTAGGTGGTTCTGTCTCAGGCTCCCTCATAATGTTGGAGTCCAAGGTGTTGACCATGGCAGTAGTCATCTGAGGCTTGATGGGGACTGTAAGATTCATTTTCAATATGGCTCCCTCACATGGCTCAGGAGGCCTTAGTTCCTTGTCATATGGGCCTTTCCATAGGGCTCCCTTAGTGTACTTGTGATATGACAATTGGCTTTCTTCAGAGTGAATGATCCTTAGGTAAGCAAGGTGGAAATAATTTCTTTTATGAGGTAGCCTCAGAAGTCATATACTGTTGTTTCTGAGACATGCTAGTTATAAAAAGTGAGTTATTAACTCTGGGCACCACTGAAGGGGAATGGAATTTAGCTTTACCGTTTGAGGAAGGATTGCCAAGTAATTTGTGAATATATTTTAAAACGCCACTCCACATGATTATATGTTATTAGGAGACCGATGACAGGTAAATTTCACTATGAGTTTTTTAAATTGTTGCTATATTTTTTCTATGTTAAAGAAATTCTAAGTTCTGAAGTAACATAGATACTGGTAATATGGTTTTTATGTTTTGTTAAAGATTTATGTATCCTTAATTTATCTACTAATTGAGATTATTTTAAAGGGTTATTTTTTGAAAATCTTAAAAGTTTTTATAACTTTGTTTCTCTTTTCAGGGCACCAACATATCATTGAATTATTCCCAACTTTGTCCTATTGTTTTTCTTTCTGACTCCCTATTTTAAGAAAATATGTTTTGCATGCCAATTATAGAAATGTGTTTATTTAAATAAATGGCTTATTTTTTCCTCTCAGCCGATTTGAATAGGATGCACAGACAAAATATAGATGCCTACCATAACCCAGATGCAAGAACATATGAAGATAAAAGGGCTGTTGTATCTCTAGACCCAAATTTAGCCACTTCAAATGCTGAGAACCTAGAAGATGCTGCAAATAAAAGCTCAGGTTTTTAATCACTTTTTTTTTTTTTTTTTTAACAATTCTGAAATTGTTCAGTAACATTTATGTTCTTTGACTAAGTTCTTCTTACTGGGATCTTGAGAACTTGGCTGCTCTGATACAGGAAGTGTACCACACGATTCATAAAATACCTTTTCTTCATAGTTACTTTGAAAAAAGGGTGAATGGGGAAAGGTTACTTCTTACTACTGTGTTTCTTCTCAGCTTTGTAACTTGCTGTGTATCCTTTAGCTGCTGCTAACATTTTTATTTTGCTAGTGGGGGACATTTCTTAAAATCAAACACTCTTTTTACACACATACACTATTTGCATCTTATATCCATAGCTGTTTGAATTAGTGAAAAACTGTCATTGTGATATGATAAATTGTACAGGGAAATTCATTTTTTGCTTGTTTTAGTAATTATTTACCCTCCCTTGTAAAACAACAGTATACAAAGAAATGAAGCAACGTGTGTGTGTGTGTGTTTTTTTTTTTTTTTTGAGACGGGGTCTCATTTTGTTACCCAGGCTGGAGTGCAGTGGCATAATCTTAGCTCACTGCAGCATCTCCGGGTTCAAGCAGTTCTCTACCTCAGCCTCCCACGTAGCTGGGATTACAGGTGCCTGCCATCTCCCCTGGCTAATTTTTGTATTTTTAGTAGAGGTGGGGTTTTACCATCTTGACCAGGCTGGTCTTGAACTCCTGACCTTGTGATCCATCTGCCTCCACCTCCCAAAGTGTTGGGATTACAGGCAGGAGCCACCGCCTGGTTACATGCCTCTTAACTACTTATCTTTGATTTACTATTAATATCCTTTAATCAAAAATTCTGTAAGATGAAAATTATTCAGTATCTTTTTTATGACATACCAGGAAAAGTTGTCAAGTATATGTTAAATTGTGTTATATATTTTAAAATAAAGTTTAATATACCACCTCACACTATATTTTGATGCCTATAAAACTGGCCATTTATTCATTACAAAATTTGACTTTGTGCTTTCACAGAACTTTTGGTTTTAGACTAGAAAAGAACTTTTCATTAGGAAGTTCTAAAATATTTGTGACTGATCATTCAGTCTTTTTTGTTGTTGACCCTTATTTTTGGCTAAACAGATAAGTGAAATGGGGAGCTGTGATTAGAGTCATACCCCTGCATCTTTCAAGGCTTTGATGGTGGCACACGTATCTGTAGCCTTTTTGAACACTTTAAGAGATGGATTATTTACTGTTTTCATGGGAAACTTGTACCAGTGTTTTCTTATTATGAGAAAATGCTTTATTTGTTCTACAATAGATTTTATTGGATCCAATTTTGATTTTTAGAGCACTAAAATTGGAACCTTTGATTTTGACAATATAATTGATTTGGCTCTTTTAATTTGTAATAGTGTGTGGTAAGAACATCAAAACACCTTTTCATATTATTGCTGCTAAGAGAGAATTTTGACTTATTTCTGATATTTTTCTCATTTGCTGCTGCTTCTAGTATTCTGTATTGAGATCTCAGTGCCATAAAGAGTCTTTCTCTACCCTTTTTTTCTATACGTGGTATTGTTTGTAGTTCTGGCTCAGCCTAGAACTTTCTCTATCTTAGTAATAACACTTTTTAGCCCTCTAGCTTTGCACACCAAGCAAAAACACCAGAAAATCAACAGTTTCCATGACCCCTTCCCAAAAGCATAAGCCTGATGATTAAACATGCACAGCAAAATTTGTTGCCTATAACCTTTCTGTACCACTGCCAGGTTTTTATGCTGGTATTGTTACTAGGATGTTCTGTTTAAGAATTGAATTTAAAAAACCATAAAAAAAACATAAAGTGTTTAAAACTTCCCTTTTTTGTGAATTGAAATTCCCTAAGTTAGACTTTCCTTCTCTAAGAATTAATTAATTGGCTGGGCTCAGTGGCTCACGCCTGTAATCCCAGCACTTTGGGAGGCCCTGAGGCGGGTGGATCATGAGGTCAGGAGATTGAGACCATCCTGGCCTACGTGATGAAACCCCGTCTCTACTAAAAATACAAAAATTAGCTGGGCATGGTGGCACGCGCCTGTAATCCCAGCTACTTCGGAGGCTGAGGCAGGAGAATTGCTTGAACCTGGGAATAGGAGGTTGCAGTGAGCTGAGATCATGCCACCGTACTCCAGCCTGGTGACAGAGCGAGACTCTATCTCAAAGAAAAAAAGAAAGAATTAATTAATCTAAAATAAACTTTCTCAATGCAAGAAATGATTCAAATCTACCCAATTTTGTGCTATGCCATATATATGTATATGAGTGCGTGTGTGTGTATGTATGTACACACACACACATATCTTTGCATATATGTAGCATTTGATATTTTAAAAGCCTGAAGGAACTTGAATATAGCTGAAAATTGAATGTTACAACATGTGTTTAAGTTTCCTTATCATCTAATATTTTATCTTCATTAGGTTTGTTTCTGATGCCCTTTATAATGTTCATTATTTTTTCTTTTACTTTATGGTTTTTAGATGAGCTGTGGCTTATGAAGTCTAATACAAATATGGCTTAAATTTACTTTTTTGGCTTATTATCATGCCAGGATACATTTCTGCTTTCTTTGTATATAGCAAGTGTTTCGCTGTGGTTTTCCTTTTATAGTTTATTCATTTCTAAAAGGGCTTCTCTTGTCTGTCTCTAATATTTCTTCTCTAATTGCCCCAAAGGTTTAGAACAGGAGTGAGCATCATGGTGAAACATGCTACTCAAGTTTGTTTCCACCACAGCATAACATTTAAAATAGCCTTCAAGGTGTTTTCAGTAGGAAAATTTTCTAGTGGAAAAAAGTATTCATAATGTTTAAGTATTGATTTGGCTTTCTGCCAGTCTGTTCAAATAAGCATTAATACATTTAAATACAAAAGCAAAATAGACCTGAGTGGTAGCTGAACTGCAAAGCAGTTTGCCTATACAAAACTACATGTGAGAAATACATGCTTTAGGCTGGGCGCAGTGGCTCACGCCTGTAATCCCAGCACTGTTGAAGGCCAAGGTGGGCGGATCATCTGAGGTCAGGAGTTAAGAGACCAGCCTGGCCAACATGACGAAATCCTGTCTCTACTAAAAATACAAAAAAAAAATTAGCCAGGCATGGTGGCACACGCCTGTAGTCCCAGCTACTCGGGAGGCTGAAGCAGGAGAATCACTTGAGCCCAGGAGGCAGAGGTTGCAGTGAGCGGAGATCATGCCACTGCACTCCAGCCTGGGTGACAGAGCAAGACTCTGTCTCAAAAATAAAGAAAAAAGAAATACATGCTTTAGTTTAATGGTATAAAGAATGAATCAGAAACTCAATATAAAAAGTTATGTGAGGCTTAAATTTAAATGTCATTTTTTTTCCTGTCTGCATTCAAAGAGACTCTAAGGGTATAATTGTTTTTCGAATTGCTTTTATGAAATAATTTTTTTCCATTCCAAGAATATACGATACTATTTATAGGTAATATATAATAAAAAATTTTTGTTCATGTTTATATCTCATTAATTTGATAGTTTTAAAAATAAAAACTATTACAACAAGACACATTCTAATTTGTTAAATATATTTTTCAAAGCTGACTTTCTGTTCTGTCATTTAAACTGTTGGGAAGAATTTTGAAATTACTGATTTTTAAAAACAATTTTATCTGTTATTAAGCAATATTCTTAAGTAAAGGATATTCACATACTGAAGAATATAAATATGTACTTTTTTTCTCTACATAAATTCTATTTTAAAGCCTTTGTTGCAATGAGGGTTGTTTAAGCTGTTAGCTTTTATATTTACTTTGTATCTTTCAGGTATTATTTGATTTTGTTAACTGTTAATTTTATTTTAGTTTTACCATTTTTCTTTCTCTTACTACTGTTCACCTGATCTTCAGATTCTAATCTCAACCTTCCTCTTCTGATTTTAATCTCTGGACTTTTTTTTTTAAAAAAAAATGAATTTATTAGCAAACTGTTCATTCTTTAACTGTTACAATTTCTAAGCATTGGCTAATAGTATGTTTTTGCAAAATGTTTCTTTCAAGGTCATATGCAAACACAGAGCTCTCCTTTTGCTCGGGGAAATGTATTTGGTGAGCCTCCAACTGAACTTCAGATTAGACAGCAAGAATTATACAAGAATTTTCTTCGTTTTCAGGTGAAATGCTATTTGATCAGTTTCAAAGTTTCATGAGATTTTAATAAACAAAACTTGCAAAGATTTTCTCCAGGATAAATACTAAATTCTAAAATGCCATACTTTTATCTAAAATATCTAATTTATATCAGATCAGATACCAGTAGTGCAAAAGTTATTATTTCATTTCCTTGTTTCAAGGAAATAAGCAGATGTATTAAGTATGGTAGTTGACTTAATCTTTATTTTATTAAATCATTAATTTGTTTTATTTTTTTGAGATGGAGTCTTGCTCTGTCTACCCAGGCTAGGGTGTAGTGGTGAGATCTTGGCTCACTGCAACCTCCGCCTCCTGGCTTTAAGTGATTCTCCTGCCTCAGCCTCCCAAGTAGATGGGACTACAGGTGCCTGCCACCACACCTGGCTAATTTTTTGTATTTTTAGTAGAGACAGGGTTTCACCATGTTAGCCAGGATGGTCTCGATCTTATGACCTCATGATCTGCCCGCCTCGGCCTCTCAAAGTGCTGGGATTATAGGCATAAGCCCCTGCACCCAACCAATTTTCGTATTTTTAATAGAGACAGGATTTCACCATCTTGGCCAGACTGGTCTCGAACTACTGACCTCAAGTGATCTGCCCACTTTGGTCCCCCAAAGTGCTGGGATTACAGGTATGAGCCACCACGCCCAGCCTAAATCATTAATTTTAAATCTAAGAAGGCTGAGATTTCAAAAACTGACTTACTAAAATATTCATCTATTAGGCAGAGAATGCATCTTTCTAGATATTTGTAAGTTATTAGAAAATCAATATATTTTTTTCCAAATGATTTGATATTCTTGACTTATTACAGATTGTAAATAAATAAAAATTAGATTTAAGATAATCACAGTTTACAATTATTTGCCCCATTTATGTATATAAGTAAGTAGCATTTAACATAGTAGAAATGCCCAGACTATTCCCAAAGGAAGACACTTGAACATCCGTTGTTTATGAAGCAAACAGACTTATTCCTATACTGGGTGTACCCTGGGCTGAGTCCTAGGGGTGGAGCCTGAGATGAATGTGAGATACTTGCCCATGAGGGACTCACAGTTTCTTATTTCATTAACTCCCTCCCCTTTACACTCACACTTAGATACCAGTGTCAGATTCATCTTATGGCCTGGGTAATCCTCCTTTGATACGACTTTTCACCTGCTATTCTTTACTCAAAATCTGGTGGTAGCTTTTCTTTGCCTACAGAAATTATCTCAACTCTTGAACCTAACATTTAAGGTTATGTAATCTAACCCCAAACTCTTAAACAGATGCCCTCAAACATATCTTCTTTTTAATCCTAATTATTCTTGACTCTTAAATAAGGCAGTTACGTAATGGATATAGCCTTTAAGGATGATTGATATTAGGCTGAGTGTGGTGGCTCACACCTGTAATGCCAGCAGTTTGGGAGGCCAAGGTGGGCAGATCTCTCGAGCACAGGAATTTGAGACTAGCCTGGGCAACATGATGAAACCCCATTTCTACAAAAAATTAGCCAGGCATGGTAGTGTGTGCCTGTCACCCCAGCTACTCAGGAGGCTGAGGTGGGAGAATTGCTTGAGCCCAGGAGGCAGAGGTTGCAGTGAGCCAAGATATGCCACTTTACTCCTGCCTGGGCGACAGAGTGAAAAAAGGATGATTGATGTGACATCACTGTTTAAGGTACAATAACAGGATTAAAAAGACTGGAAGCAGGGACATTTTACTAGCGTGGGTGACAGTGGAAATTGATGGAAAGTCCTTTTTAAGGTTCAACAGAAACAATATAGATACTGAATATGAGAGACTGGTATCAGAGGTCCCAATATTTTGCACTCAAGTCAGGTAGCAGCAAGTTGAGAGTTTGGAGTCCCTGTTGAACGTAAAGGACTGTGTGGTATATTGACCGTGACAGCAGGTCAAAATTTAAGTACCTCCTCTAATGCTTAGCAGTTCTTACCATGGTCTAAGGTAGAATGCAGCCAAAAAAATCTTACAATTGTATAGCCTTTTATTGTTCGTAAGATCCTTTTACATATAGTATCTCATCAAACCTCAGATTTCTCTGAGGGGTGTTTTATTATCTCTGTTTAATAACATACAACGAATACACAGACTAACAGGCTTGCCCAGGGTGTCAGAGCTAGCAAATTGTGATGCCATTGCTTGAATCCAAGTCTCCAGACTTTAAGTGTAATATCTGTGGATATCACACTTCTATTTATAGGATTCACTAGGAAGTCTTTACCTCTAGAAAAGCTATGGTAATGGGGGAAGCTTTAACTATTTTAGTTTCAACCTTCAGTTCTTCCACCTTGTCAACCCTCAATTTATCTGTGAATGGATTGCTTTCAGATGATGGTTTTTAAATTTTTCTTTCAGCAGCCGCTTAAAAATCTCTTCTCCCACCTCAGACAAAACCTAACATGTAATTCTAAGAAAATGTAAAATAGATCAATGATATTTATTATTACCATCAAAAATATAATGTCAGATAAAAAGTATACAAAACTTTTGTTAAAACAAATATTATGAAATGTTCAAATCTGTGCACAAAGATGTTATGTAAGAAAAGCTTTAGCCTGAGGTCTGTACAGGTAAGTTCTACAGTTAGCTCAAATTAATGCATCAGAAGTCTTCATGCTGTTAACATTTGGTGAATATTAATAACACTTGTGAATGTTTGACATTTTTTATCACAGCTTTAAAAATAATTAACAAATAAAATATTTTTAAGAACTCTGAAGCAATTTTGTGTCATGTAATTGGAAAACCATGACAAGAAGATAGCTTTCCCTGCTTTCCAGACCAGAAAGCTGTTGAACAACTGTCTAGCATTCCTGTTGGCACTGAACTTTGGCTCCATTAGGTGTATGATCCATTAATAGCTTAAAAATTAGAATTCTTTGATTTTGATGGAGAAGTGACCCCTGTGGCAATGTGATTTTTTTTTTTCCGTGGAGTAGGAAGAAGGGGGAACTGAGTATTGAATATGAAATTTTGATGAATTATAAATGATGTTTTCTTTAGGCGTATTGGACTTGAAGAAGTGATTGGATGCAAATTGCTAACTAAAAGTACTAAATATTAGGCTTGTGCATATTTAATCATGTTGTGAGAAAGAAGTGTTGGGAAAAGCCCTAGTATATAAAATCATAGGATGTGTTAGAAGATTAAAGTTCTTTTTTTTTTTTTTTTTTTTTGTTTTTTTGGCAGAGTCTCACTCTGTCGCCCATGCTGGAGTGCAGTGGCGCAATCTCAGCTCACTGCAACCTCCATCTCCTGGTTTCAAGTGATTCTCCCATCTCAGCCTCCTGAGTAGCTGGGATTACAGGGACGTATCACCACGCCTGGCTAATTTTTGTATTTTTAGTAGAGATGGGGTTACACCATATTGGCCAGGCTGGTTTTGAACTCCTGACCTCAGGTGAGCCACTGTGCCCAGCCAGATTAAAGTTCTTGTAGCTCACTTAGCAGCACTAGATAGAGCAACCTTGAAGCTAGAGGAAGTACAGAGAAGAAAAACAAAAATATGCTGAGTTGTATGATCCATACCTAAGGGTAACTAAAATCTGTTGATAACCTTAAACCAGAGACATGAATACCTGGTTCCAGTGCTGCCATTCTTCCCTGCCTCATTCACTGGGGGTATGGACTATGTCTCTCTTAGAGCCTTCTTTCCTTCAAATCTTAGGCTCTAGATTTCCTTCAAATCTTAGGCTCTAGAGTACTCAACACTGCAGACTCCGAGTAGCATTCAAGATGAAACTTAATTATGAGTCCTTGTGACCTAAATCCTCCTCCACCTAATAGTTTTAGTTCTTTCTCCATTAACCTCTATAGTTAGGAAAGAACAAAGGGCATTTGGGAGAAGCGGCTCTTGCATTAAAAAATGATTGAATACTAAAATACTAATTTCACTGTTATTTTAGAATAATAATCAATTCTAAGAATTTTGACATATAATAGCAGCAATCACTATAAAATAATATAATCATGAATTAGTTGCTTAGAACCTTCTATATAGGAGGAACTTTTATGTTCCTTACATTGTTTCACTTTAATTCTTTTAGCACTCCTTTGAGATGTAGGCATTAATAACTTTACCAGAAAAAAGAGAAAACTGAGGACAAGCAAGTTTCTTAAGGTCACACAGTCTGTTTGGTGGAACTGGAATTTAACTCAAAGCTTTTAACAGTACAGTAAATCATGTAGCCTCCCTGAAAATACAGGATACTGAAAAATTTAGGAACATGCAAAAAGAGGGTACAAATGTTGAGTTTGTATGCTATCAGAAAAAAAAAATAAGTGATATTCTAACTTTTCAATAGTTTTACAAGGGAAATAACTAGGTTTAATTTTTTAGATTGAGGAAAAGAAACAAAGAGAGGAAGCAGAGCGAGAGAGACTGAGAATTGCCGAAGAAAAAGAAGAAAGACGGCTTGCAGAACAGAGGGCACGAATTCAGCAGGAGTATGAAGAGGAACAGGAAAAGAAAAGGGAGAAAGAGGAGGAGGTACATCTCTTTTCCCTATTGTATTTTACTACTTAGTCTGAAGGTGAAATCTTTATTTTGACTTGAAAAGGTGTTTGTTACTTACAAAGGAGAACAGTGTTGGAGTACATTTAGAAAATATGAGATCACTATCCATTCATTGGATATTATTTTATTAAGGTGAAAGGGTAATTTAAGAAAGGAGATAAGTGATGACTTTAAAAAAATAGATGTAGGCTGACTGAAGACTTTATAAAAGATGCCTAATATTTTATTTTTAAGCAGACAGCTTGTGTTAAAGAACACCGTATCATGTCATCTATATCTTTATCTCATTTTATCAGAAAAATAAGGCAGCACATTTTTCAATGTACTGTAGAAGGAATATACGGAATGCATATTTTTCTATTTTAAAGCAAAGGCTAAAAAATGAAGAGCATATTCGGTTAGCTGAAGAAAGACAAAAAGAAGCAGAAAGAAAGAAGAAAGAAGAAGAAGAAAAATATAACCTGCAACTTCAGCACTACTATGAAAGAGATAATTTGACTGGGGAAGAAACAAAGGTAAGTTTCAGACAAAAATGTCAATCAAACCCACAGTTTAACCCACTTTCACTGTGAGAGTTGTGTAGTCGTTAGAAAAGCGGAAAAAGAGGAGGAGGTGCCTTTGTTCCTGTTCTGTCTTAGTGTGTAATCTGGGCACAATGTACTGAACTTTCTATATGAGGTACTGTCACTGTGCTTTGTTGGTATTTTCTGTCCATTGAAGGTAATGAATTTACTTACTTCAGCCATTCTTAATCTCGTTCCCATGGTGTATGTGGCGCCACCTAAGAATATGGTATGCAGACAGTACAACATGAACTGTTTGTTATAGTTCATGACAAGACTAATACAGAAGTTCAGAGTGGATTTTTTATATATATGTGTATATATATATTCTTTCAAGCAATTCTCCTGCCTCAGCCTCTCAAGTAGCTAGGACTACAGGCACACACCGTCATGCCCAGCTAATTTTTTTATTTTTAGTAGAGACGGGGTTTCACCATGTTGGCCAGATTGGTCTCAGACTCCTGACCTCAGGTGATCCGCCCACTTCTGCCTCCCAAAGTGCTGAGATTACAGGAGTGAGCCACCACGCCCGGCCTTCTTTCTTTTTTTTTTAAGAGACCAGGTCTTGCTATGTTGCCTAGGCCGATCTCAAATTTTTGGGCTCAAGTTGTCTTCCTGCCTCAGCCTCCCAAAGTGGTAGAATTGCAGGCATGAGCCACCGCACCCTGCCTCACAGATAATTTTTTATTGTAAAATTCATCATTTAAGAATGAAAGAGGCTGGGCGCGGTGGCTCACACTTGTAATCCCAACGCTCTGGGAAGTCAAGGCGGGCGGATCACTTGAGACCAGGAGATCGAGACCAGCCTGGGCAGCATGGTGAAACCCCATCTCTACTAACAAATACAAAAATTAGCCGGGCGTGGTGGCGGGCACCTGTAGTCCCAGCTACTGAGGAGACTGAGGCAGGAGAATCGGTTGAACTTGGGAGGCAGAGGTTGCAGTGAGCCGTGATCGCACCACGGCACTCCAGCCTGGGTGACAGAGCGAGACTCCATTTCAAAAAAAAAAAAAAAAAAGAATTAAAGAGAATTGTTAGTTTCCCATAATTATATTTCTTGCAATTTCTTATGTTTTTTTAAAAATGTTGTTTTTTTAGCAATATATACTTTTATGATGTTACAATTTAATTGTAAAGTACCATAAAGTTTTAAATCAGCTTTATCCCATTTAGTGCATTTGCCTTCCTGAAATTAATATTGCTATCGTTTTTTTTATTTACGTATGTCTGATGTATATTTTTGTCTATTCCTTCAGTTTTACCTTTGTGTCACCATATTTTTCATTTAGTTAGCTTCTATATTTAGTTTGTTGAATTTTAAAAATCCTAATCTGAGTTATAAGTTTATATTTATTTATTTAGAGACACAGTCTCGCTCTGTCACCCAGGCTGGAGTGCAGTGGTGCAATCTTGGCCCACTGCAACTTCCACCTCCCAGGTTCAAGTGAGTCTCCTGCCTCAGCCTCCCCAGTAGCTGGAATTACAGGTTCAAACTATCACACCTGGCTAATTTTTATTAGAGACAGGGTTTCACCATGTTGACCAGGCTGGTCTTGAACTCCTCTCCTTAGGTGACTTGCCTGCTTGGCCTCCCGAAGTGTTGGGATTATAGACATGAGCCACTGCACCCGGCCTAATCTTTTAAAATAGGGATATCTAAATCCATTTATGTTTATCAAAACTAATGTCTTTGATTGCATTAATTGCATTTCTGACTTTGAGAGCTTTTTGGTCTTTTGTTATATGTACTATGGCTTGTTTGCTGCATCCTCTACAGGGCTTTAGAAGGTCTATGTTGTATTTATAATGAAGTTTTTGGACTATAAGGTTTAATACACTATAAACTGAAATGTAGAACCCCATTGTGATCTTGAAAAGTCCCTCATCCATGATGCTGTTAGTGATTAGATCTAGATCTTAGAGATTGATTTGTATTGTTTTCCAGAAGAAGGATTTTATTATTTAATTTTTTTGTATTGTCATGGTATCTTCTTATTAAAGATGATTTAGTTTTGTTATATTTTTTCTTTTTTGTTGCTTTACTTGAGTTTGTTGATTTTTTAAAATCCTAATCTGACAATCATACTGTTTTAATAAAGATGTCTAAATCCATTTATGTTTATCATAACCAACATGTTTGATCTTACGTAATTGAATTTCTGACTTTTGTAAAAAACATTTTATTAAATAAAAGCAATAACAATCTAAACTTCTTAGATAACTTTCTTAACTATAAGGGGTGTGTGTGTGTGTGTGTGTGTGTGTGTATGTGTGTGAGTGTGATGAAGCAATTATGCTCTTAAATTTTTAAAAATTTTCAGCGCTTGAGACAGCCTTCTCCTATAGTTCCTGCCCTTCAGAACAAAATTGCAAGCAAACCCCAAAGACCTCCTTCAGTTGACAGCATCATACGTTCCTTTATTCATGTATGTACTTTCATTTTTATTTGTTCATCCTAGCTCAGTTATTTTGGATTGGGGGATTGAATGAAATTTTCTTTTTCGTTATATTTGGATAGGTTAAATTTTTTCAGATCTGAAATACAGGTGGTATCTACAGTAATTTGCTTGCTGCTTCGATTGTAACTGATAGTGCTTGGTGACCTAAAGTTTCTTTTGACAAACGATAATTTAGCCCCTCAAGCTAGCTAGCTGTAGATATGTTCATGAAGTCTGTTATACTTTAGATTGAACTACAAGGAAAACATGGAAAATGTTCTAAGATTGATCCTCAAGTTGATGCTTGAAGAATATGCAGGAATTTGCCTTGAAGAGGAGGGTGAGGGATTTTCAGTTTGTGGAAAGTCGTGGAGAGCAATGTAAGCTCATGGCACATGTGGAGAATCTTCCATGGTGTGGTCGGGCCTGATTATGCCTGTGCATTAAGGCAGCAGAGGAAGTGGAGGTCAGAACATGTGTGGCATGCTGTATGGAGTGCTAAGAACTTTGATTTTGTTCCATAGGCTGGTAGATTCCAGACAGGCTAATTACCAGAATAGGTAAAGAAATGTGTCAGAAGAACATGTTTCTGAATCCCACCCTTTGAGATTCTGATTTAGTATGTCTGTGGTAGATAATGCATGGGAATTCATTGTAATATTTAAGTAGGGGAATGACATGGCCACTTTTGTATAATGTTTTTTCAGGCAATGGTGTGGAGATAAGTTTTGGAGGTGGGGCAAGACTAAACATGGAGATAAGATACTTTTGCAGAAGTCAAGATGTGAGACTGAGGACCCAAACAAAGGCAGTGACACCAAGAACTGAGAAGGTGTGACAGCTTTATGATACATTTAAGAGACATAGTAGTACTATTTGTTGAGTGTGTGGTGGGTAGGAGTCTATGATAACTTTCAAGTTTTTGGTGAGGGTTGTATAGAGTAGGCAGTTGAAAATATGAATTGTGGCAGCAGAATGAGTTCTGGACTCGATTTGTAGTTCTGGACATCATCAACATATTGGTGCTTGTTAAATTAGTACCATTGTCTACGATGAGTGTCTACAAGAGGAGTAAAGGAGGCTGAGAATAGAATACTGGGGAATTAACATTTGAGAAGCAGGGAAAGGAACGGAGAGAGGGTGAGAGAGGATGGCAGTGGCGGCAGTTGCGACTGGCCAAGTAGAATGCCCACTGAATATGTCACTTGGGGGTCACTTCATGACTTTGGTGAGGGCAGTATTGTTGGAGTGATGGGTGTGAGAAAGCAAAGGCCATAGCTGTGTGTTGAGAAGTGAATGAGAATAGGCAGTATACCCAAAAGTACTGCATTTACTGTTCTTAAGGAACAGTAAATGGAAGCTCAGCTGTGAAAGGAAGGACAGAATGGACAGGAGACAGTGAGCAATGAAGGGTGAGGTAAAATTTTTTTTAAGAAAGGGAGAGGTTTTTACACATAGGCTGAGAGGAAAGTGCTTGGAGAGAGGAAGTTGGAAAAAAAGAATAATCGGAGGAGAATGGGAGTCAATTATCAGGTACAGAGTACAGATGAAGGGATTCTCTTTGGGTAGAGGCAAGGACACTTCCATTGTGATGAGAAGGAAGAACAGATATACATGGTAGATATACTCTAGAATAGATATAAGTTTTGGAGGTAGGATAGTGTGGAGTTTGGTTTCCTTTACATATAAATCCTTCAAAAAATTACTCCCTTCAAGCTTCTATGTAGGGAAGACATACTGAGCATGTCTTTGTCATTATTGTTAAACAGGAAAGTTCCATGTCCAGGGCACAGTCACCCCCGGTACCTGCCAGGAAAAATCAGCTCCGTGCAGAAGGTAGAGTTAACTACTAAACCTGTTACCTAGAGTATTTCCCTTTTTAACTTTTCATTTTGAAATAATTATAAACTCATAGAAAACTGCAGAAACAGTAGAGAGATAGGTGCTGTGTACCCTTTCTCCAACTTTCCCCTGGGGTAACATCTTAGGTAGTATAGTCTCATAGCCAGGAAGTGGACATTGGTGTGCTCCACAGACCATCAGATTTTACCATTTTTAACATGCATTTATGTATGTGTATTTCTGTGCATTTTTATCATGCGCAATTTGTGCAAATACCACTGCAATCAAGATACAGAACTGTTCCATCACCATAAAGGAACTTCCTTGTGCCTCTCCTTTATAGTTGCCCTCCCACAAGAATATCGCTTCTAAAATTCCTATATTGTAAAAAATGTACTTATGGGTCCTAATGACATCCATAATTATGATCTGTGTATGTGTGTATATGTAAAATGTTAAAATATCTTTCATAAAATTGTCTCTGAGCAGTTTCACTTTATTATTAGTCAGGTTGTGTTTTAATGTTTAGTCTTTTGTTCTTATTCCTGTCGTGTTTTACTTATCAATGGGAATTTGCAGAGGAGAAAAAAAATGTAATTATGGAATTATCAGAAATGAGAAAACAACTTCGTAGTGAAGAGAGGCGTCTACAAGAGCGATTGCTACACATGGACAGTGATGATGAAATTCCTATCAGGCAAGTTTAGAATTGCACTTTTTGTTTTCTCTTGAGTTCTTTTACTTCACCTATGCAGTAATTTTGCAGTTTGGGAACAGGACTAATTCATCTTACTTAGAATCTCCTTACTTTCCTTTTCTTTGTCTTTTACAAAATCCGTTGTAGAAATTTAGTTCTCAAGGGGATTAATGTTGTAGGAATAGAAATTTCTGGGTTGGAATAATTACAGACAGTAGTTGCATTTTAGAACTGTTTTTTATATTTTCCATTAATAACGTAGCTTTCTGAAATACTTTTTTTCAACAAAATCACTTACAGGCTACCAAACCTTTCTGATCATTTTTGCCAGGAGTCATACATTTTTAAAGCAGTGTTCTTCAAACTTCAGTTTGCACTGTTTTAGTAGGTTGTAAAATCAACATAGTGGGTAACTACCACAATTCCTTTCTTCCTCTTTTTAAAAATAAACTTTCTATTTTGGGATAATTTTGATTATAAAAAAGTTGCAGGCTGGGTGCGGTTGCTCACACCTGTAATCCCAGCACTTTGGGAAGCGAAGGCGGGTGGATCATGAGGTCGGGAGATCGAGACCATCCTGGCTAACATGGTGAAACCCTGTCTCTACTAAAAATACAAAAAATTAACTGGGTGTGGTGGCATGCGCCTGTGGTCCCAGCTACTTAGGAGGCTGAGGCAGGAGAATGGTATGAACCCAGGAGGTGGAGGTTGCAGTGAGCCCAGATCACACCACTGCACTCCAGCCTAGGCGACAGAGTGAGACTCTGTCTCACAAAAAAAAAAAAAGAAAAAGTTGCAAACAATACATAGAGTTTCTGTACACCCTTCATCTGGTTTTCCCTATTGTTAACGTCTTGTATTACCATGATATGTTTGTCACAACTCAGAGGCTGACATTAGAACATTACTATGAACTAAATTTGAGACTCTTTGGATTTCTCCAGTTTTCCACTAATGTTCTTCTTCTGTTCATGGGCCCCATACAAGATGTACCACGTTGCATTTAGTTGTCATGTCTCCCAGTCTCCTCGGGTCTGGGACAGTTTCCCAGTCTTCTCTTATTTTTCTTGTGAAAGTCTACATGGGCACTGGCCAGGTATCCTGTAGAATGCCTCCTTCTCTAGTCTGGATTTGTCTGATGTTTTCTGATTATTAGACTGGGATTAAGAGTTTCTGGAAAGAAGAGCACAGGCACTGTTCTGACATCACATTGTATCAGGGGTACATGATATCCACATGATACCTCTGGAAATGTTAACCTTGGTTAAAGTAGTGTTTGCCAGGATTCTGCACTAGAAAGTTAACTATTCTTTGGTCACAAATCACTAAATCTAGCACACCTGCAAGAGTGAGAAAGAGGTGGAATTAAGCTTCATCTCTTGGAGCAGGGGGTTACCCACATATAGTTTTTAGAATTCTTCCATAAGAAAGACTTGTCTCTTCTTCTTCCATTTATTTATTTATTCAGTCATTTATTTATTACTGTCATCTCATGTGTATTTATCTTACACTTTGGGTTATAAGTGAGTGCTACATTATTTTATTTCACAAATTGTTCCAACTTTGGCCATTTGGAGCTCTTTCAGGTTGGCTCCTGTGTCTCTTTGACATGTCCCCATCCTTTCATTTTTTGAAGACTTCTTTCCAGATGCCTCAGGATCATCTTGTATTTCCCCTACCCCATCCCTAGAATCAGCTATTTCTCCATTGAACCCTGGTTCCTTTTGGAGAATGTGTTTAGAAACCAGATAAGCTGGGTCTGTTTATTGCTGGGTGTCATTGCTTCTAGGCCCTCTGGATAATATATGTATGTATACTAAGTCATAAATATAAACATATCTATAATTGTTCCTATATCTATTTGTATATATATTAAGTTCATACCGATGTCTCTAACTCTAATCCAGTATGTGGTAGGATTTTAACGTAGCATGTTAATTTGCCTAATTACGCTTTGTTTAGATTTTTGTTTGTATTCTCTAGGAATATTGAAACAAGGTAAACAAGGTGAGGAAATTTCAAGATATAGATTGGCTAGATAATGAAATGTTATTCCAAGGTGGTAATTTTCAGTGATTCAGTAATTCTCCCATAGTAGGTCAGTAAGTTCTAAACAATCGAGAGGTAGTGTTTTTTCTTTTCTATATTTACTTTTACAGTGTTATAAATGCCTTAACTGTGCAGTTTTCCATTTTCCAAACATGCATATTTAATTCAGTTTAATGTTTTTTTTTGACATTTTATTAATTTTTCTTTTCATTAGTAAATTCTTTTGGTAAACCAATATGATTTAAGAAAGAGTACTCAAGCAGTCCCTCAATTTTCTCACTTGAAAATTATACATGATAATTTCTACCCCTTGAGAGTCTAGTGAAGAATAAATAAATGTATGTATTTGAAATAAATAAATATATGTCTTTGTGACTCTTAAGTTCTAACTTAAGTTATAAAACATGTTACATTTATCATCATTTAGCAAGAATTGGTTGAATACATTTACTTTGGAATAATTTTAATATATATTCTGATTAAAGACATCTCAGAGTTGGTTCTTTATTGCAATTTCATGAATATTTGTACAAAAGGATTCTCGTATTCACTAAATAATTTGCCAAATTATCCAGCTCCTATCATGTGCTAGGCTCAAAACAAATGTGATGTAGCTCACATGTGAAGATTTAATAACCTATTTCCTAACTTACCAGTGTATTTAACTATTAGCATTAATGGAAAATAGACAGCAGTCCAATTTAATGGTCTCTTAGACATCTTTTTAGTATTTTGCATTGTAATAAATCTCCATAGAGTTCCTTTCACCTTAGGTATTAGAGGTCTCTGTCAGCCTTGACCAGGGTCCTTTATGGCCCCAGTGAATGCTCCCCTGCAAAAAGGAAGCTCCAGTAGAGCAGGGGTATTGTCTGTGGGGATCCCAGCTATCTTGTCTTGGTGCTTAGGGAAGATTTAATGATAAAGAAATGATGGGAGGAGTCTGACTAAGCCTCATAATAACCATAACTTAGAGCTCCATTTTCAAAAATAGAGGAGACCTAGTGCTGAGTGAAGCAGCAGTAAGTATTTTTTTTTTTTTCAGGACTAGAAACACCATTCCTCTCTTATCATCACTCCCTCAAGCCCTGGCAGAAAACTCCCTTACTACCTGCTATGTATTAATTTCCTAGGTACCCCAGGAATCAGTTAACTAGTTAGGGTATCAAGTTCCTTGTAAAGTCCATTGTAAAGTTAATGTTGGGTCCTCTGAATAATGCCCATATTGAACTACATATTAGTACCGTATTTCTATTTCTATTTTTATTTTTTTGAGACGGAGTCTCGCTCTGTCACCCAGGCTGGAGTGCAATGGCACGATCTTTGGCTCACTACAACCACTGCCTCCCAGGTTCAGGTGTTTCTCCTGCTTCAGCCTCCTGAGTGGCTAGGATTATAAGTACCCACCCCCACGCCTGACTAATTTTTGTATTTTTAGTAGAAACATGGTTTCACCATGTTGGTCAGGCTGGTCTCAACCTCCTGACCTCAGGTGATCCACCTGCCTCGGCCTCCCAAAGTGCTAGGATTACAGCTGTGAGCCACTGTGCCTGGGCAGTACCATATTTCTTTTTCTTTTTTTGGAGACAGAGTCTCTTTCTGTCACCCAGGCTGGAGTGCAGTGGCATGATCTTGGCTCCCAGCAACCTCTGCCTCCTGATTCAAGCAATTCTAGTGCCTCAGCCTCCCAAGTAGGTGGGACTACAGGTGCAGGCTACCACACCTGGCTAATTTTTGTATTTTTTAGTAGAGACGGGGTTTTTTTCCATATTGCCCAGGCTGGTCTCAAACTCCTGAGCTCAAGCAATACGTCTGCTTCCCAAAGTGCTGTGATTATAGGCGTGAGCCAGAGGGCCCTGCCTATTACCATATTTCTATGTGTGATTTCTGTTTTAGGTTGAGGGGAAGGTAATTTATTGATTATCTAATGCATGTCAGGTACTATACTAGGTACTTAAGAGTATAAAATTTATCTTAATTCTGACCCGATATTGTGGCTCACCCCTGTAATCCCAGCACTTTGGGAGGCTGAGGCAGGCGGATAACCTGATGTCAGGAGTTTGAGACCAGTGTGGCCAATGTGGCAAAATCCTGTCTCTACTAAAAATACAAAAATAAAAAAAAAAGCCGAAGCCGAGTGTGGTAATGCGTGCCTATAGACCCAGCTACTTGGGAGGCTGAGGCAGGAGAATTGCTTGAACTGGGAAGTGGAGGTTGCAGTGAGCTGAGATTGTGCCAGTGCACTCCAGCCTGGGCAAGAGAGCAAGACTCTTTCAAAAAAAAAAAAAAATTTATCTTAATTCTGTTGTTCACAATAAGACTATAAGGGGTAGGCATCTGCATTTTTACACATGATGAAATTGAGGTCAAATTGCTAATAAATAACAGAGCTGGTCTGAATCTCAGTTTCTCTGACCTTAGAGACTGTGATCTTCATACTCCATGAACATTTTATTTTTTCCATGAACATTTTAAAGTAAAGCTGAATCATTCTATTCTTGTAATAAGGTATCTTGCATCTGATGATTTTGAAAAATTTCAATGGCGTTATAAATATGCTATATTTTAAGGTAAATCGAACTAATAATAGAGCTATCCGAATAATTTTTTTTTTTTTAGACGGAGTCTTGCTGTGTCGCCCAGGCTGGAGTGCACTGGCACGATCTCAGCTCACTGCAAGCTCCACCTCCTGGGTTCATGCCATTCTCCTGCCTCAGCCTCCTGAGTAGCTGGGACTACAGGCGTGTGCCACCACGCCCGGCTAATTTTTTGTATTTTTTAGTAGAGACAGGGTTTCACTGTGTTAGCCAGGGTGGTGTTGATCTCCTGACCTCGTGATCCACCCACCTCGGCCTCCCAAAGTGCTGGGATTATAGGCGTGAGCCACCATGCCCGGCCAATTTTTTTTTTAAGAGATGGAGGGCCGGGTGCGGTGGCTCACACATGCCTGTAATCCCAGCACTTTGGGAGGCCGAGATCACGAGGTCAAGAGATAGAGACCATCTTGGCCAACACGGTGAAATCCCATCTCTACTAAAAATACCAAAAAATTAGCTGGGCCTAGTGGTCCAGCTCCTGTAGTCCCAGCTATTCAGGAGGCTGAGGAAGGAGAATTGCTTGAACCTGGGAGGCGAAGTTGCAGTGAGCCAAGATCACGCCACTGCACTCCAGCCTGGCAACAGAGCAAGACTCATTCTCAAAAAAAAAAAAAGAGACAGGGTCTCCCACTGTTGTCCAGGCTGGAGTGCAGTGGCATGATCACAGCTTATTGCAGCCTTGGCCTCCTGGGCTCAATCAATCCTCTTGTCTCAGCAGTAGCCAGGACTACAGGCACACACCATCATGCTTGACTTTTTTTTTTTTTTTTTTTGAGATAGAGTCTTGCTCTGTTACCCAAGCTGGAGTGCAGTGGCGTGATCTCGGCTCACCGCAGCCGCCTCCTCCCTGGTTCAAGCAGTTCTCATGCGTCAGCCTCCTGAGTATGTGGTAGTACAGGCACACACTATCACGCCCAACTAATTTTTGTATTTTTAGTAGAGACAGGGTTTCATCATTTTGGCCAGGCTGGTCTCAAACTGCTGACCTCAGGTGATTTGCCTGCCTTGGCCTCCCAAAGTGCTGGGATCACAGGTGTGAGCCCCCATGCCCGGCCAACCTTTTTTTTTTTTTTTTTTGAGACGGAATCTTGCTCTATTGCCCAGGCCAGAGTGCAGTGGTATGATCTCAGGTCACTGCAGCCTCCACCTCCTGGGTTCAAGTGATTCTGCTGCCTCAGCCTCCCGAGTAGCTGGGACTACAGGCGTGCGCTATCACACCCAGCTAATTTTTGTATTTTTAGTAGACACGGGGTTTCTCCACATTGGCCAGTCTGGTCTTGAACTCCTGACCTCAGGTGATCCACCTGTCTTGGCCTCCAAAGTGCTGGATTGCAGGCATGAGACACCACGCCTGACCTCATTTTTTTTTTTTTTTGTAGTGAGGGGGATCTTGCTTTGTAGGCCAGGCTGGTATTGAACTCCTCATTTCAAGGAGTCCTCCTCTCTGCCTCCCAAAGTGCTGGGATTGCAAGTGTGAGCCACAGCACCTGGCCTAGAATAATTCTTTAATAATATGATGTGGTGAAAGAGACCAAATTTCTTTTACAGTGAATTAGATGTGAACTCACCTATTTTTCCTATAAAGCACATATTATGATTTGTCATTTGTCTATAGGAAAAGGGAAAGGAATCCCATGGATATATTTGATATGGCTAGACATCGGTTGCAAGCTCCTGTCAGAAGACAGTCACCTAAGGGCTTAGACGCTGCCACTTTTCAGAATATTCATGATTTTAATGAGCTGAAAGATAGAGGTGAGTAGATTGCTGCTCTTTTAAAGATGTAGCAGAAGTGCTCTACCCATATTTAAATATCTGTAAAGATTTTTGTACCCTTTTTCTAAAGTAGAATTTTATCTATGATATATATTTTAAGTTAAAATGAAATGAAACTTCTGTATTCTCTAGGTCTTCAGTTAACCAGTCTGGTAGATGAAGCTTTAGTTTGACTAACTGCTGTCTTTTGGAGAGCATATAGTGTTAAAGTCTGGGATGGATGAGATCGCATAGACTAGTATGAAGAATGGAACTTGGCATTTAATGGAGGATGGACAGACAAAGATGAGCTCATGAAAAATACTGAGGAGAAGTCAGAGAGACTGGAGGAGAAGCAGGAGAATGTAGGATTCTGAAACCTGAGCGGAAAGAGTATCAAGGAGACAGGATCGTGTAAGATGAATACTGGAAAATGTCAGTTGGATGAGGTCATTGGTGACCTCAGCTAGAGCTTTTTAAGTGGAATGATCGCCGATTAACTTTGGAATGAGGATTGACTAGGAAACAAGATATTGGAAACAATAGGCATAAGACTTTTAGAAGGCCCTTGGCTGGGAAAGGGAAGGGGAAGGAGAGGGAGGGATCAGGAGCTGGAAGAGTCCTTAGAATGTGAATGTGAGGAGCTATGCAGGAGAAAGAGGTTCAGGCTCTAGGAGAGGGAGAGTGATTGTTGAAGTGAGCAGGGCACCTGGGTAGGCAGGAGGAAATCTAGGGGGTTTGAAGGAAGAGTTAGGAGAAGCTTTGATGTAGCCACTTAGGACGAATAGAAGAGAAAGTTTAGTAGGGAAATGGGATTTCCAAGGTACATGAGGCCTGGGAGATTGAGAATGTGTGGAGGAACCAAAATGTGTGTTGTGTAATTTTCCTTTAGGCATATTCAGCAGAGCAGGTGTTGGAGCAGAAGGGGCAGATTATGGGATGTGTGGTCATATGACCTAGGCCAGAAAACTGGAATTTAAGCTTTTTATCCTTTTGAAAGTAATATCTGTTTATTGTAGCAAATTCTCAAAATACAGAAAGATAGTAAGAAGGAAAAATCACCTTAGTCAAACTACCTGTATGTAAGTACCATTATCATTTTGGATGTTTTCTAGTCTTTCTGAGCGTAATTAAAAGAAAAAAAAGATAAATTGTGTTATTTATTTAATTTTCTCTATTGTTTTTCACCTAGATTTGCATGTATTATCAATTACATATACCATAGTTATTTTTTATGCTATCATATATTGATTACTTACTATCTGCCAGGCATTGTGTTAATCCAGTGGGTCTCGTGAGAAGTTTGATCTGAAGTCAAAACTGTTTGTATTATAAACTAAGACATTATTTGTATCTTTCATTCTTATTCTCTCATGTGTATACAGATTGGCCAGAGACTACATGGCATGTGATGATTTCATCTCTTTGAAGCTAGCAGAATGTGTCCTTGTATATTCTTGTGTTTTAAGAATCTCTTAGTTTTAACTTCTAATATGGCGTGTGTGTGTGTGTGTGTGTGTGTCACATACATAAGTAAAACTCTTTGGGGTCCTCAATTTTTAAGAGTGTAAAAAAAAGATCTTGAGACCAAAAAAGTTTAAGCCATAGAATTGAGCCATTCATTTCCCTGTGTTACTACATCTTGCCCTCATTCACCAATGACCTGGTGGTTGGTATTGTTTTTTAATGAGTCTGGAAGCAGTGAAGCCAGGGACCAGTCCAAGTTTATGTGTCCAGAGACTTCTGTTAACTTCTGAAAATGGCTATTAGCCATTTTCACTATTTTGTTCTTTTGATAATTTCTGATCATAAAGCTTTATACATATTTAGGACCATAAAACTGTATATATATTTAGGCTTCTTTATTTATATTCCAGCAGTGTAATTAGTGAGTCAAAGGGAATAATATTTTCAAGGCTTTTTATATGTATGAACTGTATGTTTCTTCTCACGATTTAAAAATTTTTATTCTTGGCTGGGCGCAGTGGCTAGTGCCTGTAACCCCAGCACTTTCAGAGGCCGAGGCAGGTGGATCACAAGGTCAGGAGTTCAAGACCAGCCTGGCCAACATAGTGAAACCCCATCTCTACTAAAACCTACAAAAAAAAAAATTAACCGGGCATAGTGGTGGGCACCTGTAGTCCCAGCTACTTGGGAGACTGAGGCAGGAGAATTGCTTGAACCCAGGAGGTAGAGGTTGCAGTGAGCTGAGATCATGCTACTGCACTCCAGCCTGGGTAACAGAGTAATACTTTGTCTCAAAACAAAACAAAACAAAACAAAATTTATTCTTGTTAGTGGATATTCATGGAATTGTGACAGAGGTAAATTCCTTCAGAAATGGCAATCCCCAGCTGCGGTGGCTCATGCCTGTAATCCCAGCACTTTGGGAGGCCAAGGCAGGCAGATCACGAGGTCAGGAAATCGAGACCATCCTGGCTAACACAGCGAAACCCCGTCTCTACCAAAAATGCAAAAAATTAGCCAGGCATGGTGGCGGGCACCTATAGTCCCAGCTACTCAGGAGGCTGAGGCAGGGGAATGGTGTGAGCCTGGGAGGTGGAGCTGGCAGTGAACAAGACCGTGCCACTGCACTCCAGCCTGGGCGACAGAGCAAGACTCCATCTCAAAAAAAAACAAAAACGAAAACAAACAAACAAAAAACAGAAATGGCATTCCTCATCAAGTTCCAGCCAGTCTACGTTTATCTTGCTTTCTGCATGATACTTGTAAGGACTAAACTATTAATTGGCCAGTAACATTATTTTTTCACGTTTCCAGTATATTCTAGAGATCAGCCGTGGTTACAGTGTCTCATGGCTGCCTTAGTCATAGCCATGTGACCATCTGCTTGGATATACCTGCACATAGTTTGTGTTCTGGGTGGCATCCTGGTGGGGCTAGGACAGGTAGAGATGGAGAATGCGGCATCCACTGCTTGTTCTGGGGTATTCCTTATGTTGGTAAGTTTGTGAAAAGGCACTTATTAAAGAATATTAATTTCATGTTCTTTAGTTTTGTGGCTATTTACTGTCCTTTGACTTTAGTGATGTTTCACTATTTATATCATTTCCTTGATTTTGAAATGAGGTTACTCATGTTACTTATAGTGAAGTTTTACAAAATCTCATTTGAAAACAACATTTAACTTAGTTATATAACATATTTTTTATACCAGATTCAGAAACACGAGTTGATCTGAAATTTATGTACCCGGATCCTCCAAGAGATCATCACACCTTAGAGATTCAGCAGCAAGCCCTGCTAAGAGAGCAGCAGAAGAGGCTGAACAGAATAAAAATGCAAGAAGGTGCCAAAGGTAAGAAATAATCATTGCTGTGTCAAATAGTATTAGCACGCTGTTTTTCGGTAGGCTTTCTGCATCTCTTCTGTTGATTTCAGTCCCAGGCATCCTCCCTTCACTGGCAGCCCCATGCTCTGTGAAGGGAGGGTCCATTTGGTCTGTAGTACCAGAAAAGAAGTATGAGAAAGGGCTCTGGGTGGCTCCACCAGGGTGGTGTATTCATGCATGACAGGGGCCTAGCCATTCACTGTAGCCAGGAGGACTGAATACTTTGACCAGGCCAGGTGACATCTGCATTAGGAACTAGAAACCAAAGGAAGGAGTGCCAGGCAAACATATCAGTGCCCTGTCATGATGTGTCGGGCATTTGTCTACTGTGCCATGTCAGGCATTTGTCTACTGTGGTGTGAGTGTGTTTAAGTTTTGATGTGGCGTAAAATGTGCAAAGCATCAGACTGGACTATGAATATGTTTTCGTATAATCAACCAATTGAAAGATACTTAGTGGTTACTAGGAGCGCAGGTACTGGCCTGTATCCAGGGATATGGTGATGAATGACATATGCTGCTGCTCTTGAGGAGGTTATATTTTGTTGGAGAAGTTAGATGCTAAAGAAGTATAACTGTGATGAATATTGCACAGAAGAAATCCAGGATGTCGTTGGATTTCTTGGGGTGGGTGGGTACCTAGAAGCAGAGTGGGGCTAGTTGTCTCAGAGAGCACTGATGGGGCCTGATGATAGCCAGGTGTACTGCATGGCCTTCCCATCTGTATTTCACCAGCTTTCAGGCCATCGAGGTTAACCATGGAAAATGAGTAATGAAAACACAACCATCAGATAACAAGAATGGAAGGGATGCTCCTGCCAGTTATTTTTAAGAAAATTTAAGACCCTATCTTGGGAGGCTGGTCTGACTTGCAGAATCTGAGGAAGCTTTTCTGACTTCATGAGAGAGCATCACAGGAGTAAGTGATGCAGCACTTTAGGCCCAGATCATAGGTCAAGACTTCAATAAACATATGCATAGGGATCGTCTCCCCTTCATCTGGTACAGAATTTTTAATAACAGCCTCATAGCCCTGTGACAGAATAAGCCTAATTCTAGGATAAGCAGTAGGTGTATCACCTGGAGAGAGGAGAGAAGCAAGTACATTCTTTAACCTTTGTACCCAGTCTGGTGGCATTTTTCTTTAGTCTCAAAATGAAGGTCTGATCTTGTGGGATTTTGGCATCTTAGACTGATTAGCCCAAAAGTAGTCCCCAGGTGGATACAGGTACATTTTGGCACTGAAGGTATCTATCTCCCACAGTAGCCACCCCCCAACTGCCAGTAGACACTATGATGACCTAATTCATAAGAATATGATCTCACTGGCTGGGTATGGCGGCTCATGCCCGTAATCCCAGCACTTTGGGAGGCCGAAGTGGGCAGATCATGAGGTCAGGAGTTCAAGACTAGTCTGGCCAACATAGTGAAACCCCCGTCTCTACTAAAAATACAAAAATTAGCTGGGCATGGTGGCGTGTGCCTGTAGTCCTAGCTACTCTGGAGCCTGAGTCAGGAGAATTGCTTGAACCCGGGAGGTGGTGGTTGCAGAGAGCCGAGATTGTGCCACTGCACTCCAGCTTGGGCAACAGAGTGAGACTTCGTCTCAAAAAAAATAAATAAATAAAAAAGAATATGGCCTCACTGTAAACAATCACAAATATGTCTATTAAAATATAGGAAAAGGAATACAGGCTATCATTGGCAACTTGTTTATTCTCAAAGGCAGTATCTAAAAAGGGCAAAATGTGCTATTCACAGGAACACATAGGAAGTCTGGTCATACTGGAGAGGCTTTGGGATACCTGATCCAAGATCTTTGCTTCGGGAACTAAGTGCCTGGAATTGAGCTTATTTCAGTTCCATGTGAGGGAGCCCCTATTTAACTCCATGCAACAACTTTCTACAGACTGTAGAAATCTGACAAGATGGTGAAGGATACTGCATTGATCATTTTCTTTTTCTGTTGGCAGTAGTTTTACGTTTGCAATGATTTTACTTGTTATGTTCATTCATGTGAATGGGAGAATTTTATGCAGCTAGAATGGATGCAGGGCTGTGTTTATTAATAAGTGATATCTTTAAAATATTCTGAAGTGTGATAGTTGAAAAGTAATTTCCAGTAGAGAGCTAGTCAAAAAGATATTCTAAAATTTAATTTTATATAGTAAGCAATTTCTGACCTTTTAATTTGCTTTTGTTCTTCATTGACTTACAGTTGACTTAGATGCCATCCCAAGTGCTAAAGTACGAGAGCAAAGAATGGTAAGCAACCAGTTATAATTTTTCAAGTTAGTTTTTGGGGGATTAAAAATCTATAAGCATATGATGATCAAGTAATTCAAATTTTGAATTATTCAGGAATACTGAATTAAGAATGTAAGTCTTATCAGTAAAGTGGATAGCTTGAGAAGTGTTAGGATAATATATAGAGAAAACATATTATAATGGCTAAGAACAAGATTCTAGCACTAGGCTGTTCCAGTTAGTCTATTTTTAGCTGTGTGACTTAGGGCAAGTTATTTAATCTCTTTATGCCTCAGCTTCCTAATCTGTAAAATGAGGATAATAGTACTTAAATTAATATTTTTAAGGTACTTAGAAACAGGCCTGGCATATAAGTTTTTATAAGTGTTTATTAAATAAATAAAAATAGCTCCAGTGCTGTTGTTAGAACTGATATAATATATTAAAAGCCCTTACAGCAGGCCTGGCCCATGATGAGTGCAGTGTGAGTGTTTGCTGTCATTAGCATGAGCAGTAGTGGGAGTGGGAGTCTGTTATGGAAATAGTGTTGAGGTCTACAAAGAAAATAAGCAAAGGAAGAGAACAGAGAATGATAACACCCACCTGTATCCTAAGGGGGCCACTTTTTGTGCAAGACTGAATAAAGGGATAGGATGAGCTCTTTTCAATCAACAAATATTTATTATTTCCTATGGACCAGAAACTGTTCTAGGTGCCGGGGTATAGGAGTAAACAAAAGGGACAAAAATCCCTGCCCTCTGACAGCTTACATTGCAGAAGGAGGGAGAGACAGTAATCAAATAAATCAATAGTTTGTTGAATCATGGTGCTGTGGAGAAGACAACAGCAGAGAAGGCAGCTGGAGCATCCTGGGTGGGAGGGTTTATAGTTGGAAATACAGTGGGCATGGGGGCTCACTGGGTAGGTAACATTTCAGTAAGGACACCAGGGAGGTGTCCATGGAAAATGTGGGGGAACTTCTGGAGGAAGAACATTCCAGGAAGAGGCCCCTGTGGGAGCTGGCCTAGTGCATGTAAGGAGCAGTGGGAGAGCCATGAGCAAGGGCCAGTTGGACACATGGGGCAGGGGGTGACGAGGTGAGGCAGCAGGGCCTTGGGGGCCATTCTGGGGCTTTGCCTTTGACACTTGTGCATGTGATGAGAAGCTGCCAAGGTCTTTAAGTGGAGGAGTGACATGATCTGCTTGAGGTTTTTACTTGATCCACTGACTGCTGTGCATTTAGACTGAGTGGGGCAGGAGGCTATTGCAGTAATTTAGGCAAGAGACAGGCTCACTTTCTGATAATGAATGCAGTGCATCAGTGTAATTCATTGCCTTAAAAATTAAGGGACAGCTCTTTGCTGGAGTGTCTTAATGAAGCCCAGAAATCTGCTAAGAAGGTGAAGGTAGGTGGAGTTGGATGACTTTAGGTTCCTTCTGACATGTTGGTGATGATTATTCTGTACTGAAAAATTCTCTATATGTAAATTTAAGTTTTCTCTCATTTGGGAGCTCATTATAATAAGCCCAATCTTAGCATTTTTTTCCTTACTATAATATGTGCTCCACTGTATCTGTGCTGCATCATTGTGACAATTGCTGTCACATAGGGCTGTCATAATCTGAGAGTATACCCCCCTCTCTCCCATGACACTGTGATCTACTCCAGAGCAGAAACTCTTAATTCATCTTTGTATCCCCAGTTCCTAGCATGAAAGAAATAGTAAGTGGGCTATACAGGTTTATGGAAATTCAAATGAATGAATCTTGGCAGTGGCTTAAAAACTTAATGTTTAATTGGGGTCTTTGCTTCATACTCTATTATATTTTCCATCAGTCATAATGTGATCCTTTTATTTGACTTCAACCATAAAGGGGCAGGAAGGAGTGGAGTTAGGGAATAAATGTGTGAGCTTGTAGAATCTGTAGCCTGGAGAGATACTGTCCTGTGTTGCTATCACCGTCTTCATAGGAATTGTGTGTGTTAAGTTTTTCCAGTATTTTCTGAGCATTGGAATGTAGTCAGTCCTACCTCTTCCCATCCTCTTCTGCTTTTAGGGAGAACAATGTGGAAACTTGTGCCTCTTCTTAGTACAAATTTGTTGTTTTTCCACACAAAACTAATAAAAATAGTCATTGAAACATGTTTCTTTTAGCCCAGAGATGACACTAGTGATTTCTTGAAAAACTCATTATTGGAATCTGATAGTGCTTTTATTGGTGAGTATATTTATTTTATTAAGGCTATATTATTTAAATATTAAACCTTTCTCCATACTTAAAAACCAGTACTGTATTCTTTGTTGCACAAGGTAGTAAAAAAAAAAAAAAGGAATATTTTTTTTTCTGTTTTAATGAGTAATCATCAGATATTCCTTGCAAAGTTTTCAAAATCACAATTACTGAAATGAAATATAAAAGTCTTAGGAATAGTTGACAAACCTGTACATGAATGTTCATAATAGCCTCATTTCTAATGCCAAATGCTGGAATCAGCCCAGATGTCCTTCAGTAGATGAATGGTTAAACAAATGCTGGTACATCCATGCCATGGAATACCACTCAGCAATAAAAAGGAACGAAGTTTTGAAACTTGGATGAACTTGGATGACTCTTCAGGGAAATAGTCTGAGCAAAAAAGACAATCCCAATACATTACTGTATGATTCCATTTACGTAACATTTTTGAAGTTACAGAATTAAGAAATTGAGAACAGATTTAGTGGTTGCCAGGGGTTGAGAGATAGGAAGAGGTGTATATAGTTATAAAAGGGCAAGAAGAGGGATCCTTGTGGTTTGGGAACTATTTAACAACTTGTTTGCAGGGGTGGATACACACATGTAAATGGGAAATAAAATAATAATAGATCTTAATACACACATAAAAACACACAAATGGGTATTGGTAAGATAGAAAATTGGAATCTGTGGGTTGTATCAGTATCAATATCCTGGTTGTGAGATTATACTTGAGTTCTGCAAAATGTTACCATTGGGGGAAACTGGACAAAATGTATAAGGAATCTCTACTATTTCTTATACCTGTGTGTGTACCTTAATTATTTTAATCTATTTATAGTTATCTTAATATTTCAGTCAAAAAAGTCATAAGACTATTTTATTTAGTCTTCAGAAGATAAGTAAAGGTACCATGGGATCTTTTTTCTTAAAGTAGTATACACTTATGATTATGTACTCTGATCATGAGTGTTTCTGCTATCCTAGGGCCATCAGGGAATGATCTAGTCTACATATTAGCTGTATTTCAGGCCAATTACTTTAGATATTCATGTGATAAAATTCCAAATTAACTTATATTTTTCTCTTAATGGTATTTTGTTGTTGTTGTTGCTGTTTTTGAGACAGGTCTTGCTCTGTCGCCCGGGCTGGAGTGCAGCAGCACAATCATTGCTCACTACAGCCTCAAATTCCTGGGCTCAAGTGCTCCTCCCATCTCAGCCTCCCCAGTAGCTGGGACTACAGCATGTACTACCATACCCAGTTATCTTTTTTATTTTTTGTAGAGATGAGGTCTCCCTATGTTGCCCAGGCTGGTCTCAAACACCTGGACTCAAGGGATCCTCCTGCCTCAGCCTCCCAAAGTGCTGGGATTACAGACATGAGCCACTGTACATGGCCTTTTTTTTTTTTTTTTTAATGAATTTTTCCTTTCCAAGGAAGATGCACTGGAGAGAGAAGGAAAAATAAAACAGCAGGAGACAGGGATGAGAAGATTGCTTGTCAGGGAAATGAGACCTGTCCTTCCTAACAGTGAAGATGGTCTGGGCCATTCAAGATGGTGTGTTGGAGTATTGCATGACACTAGAGCAAAGATACAGCAGTCTTTATGGTTAACAGTGACTGCAAATGCTGCGTAAGTCATGGCTGTGTTAACCACTGCTCTAAGGAATGTAAAGCTGGTGGTTTCAGTGCATTATTTTTAAAAAGTAGGGTTTTTTAAATTGTAAAATACACATAAACATAACGTTTACCATTTTAACCATTTTAAAGTGTACAGTTGACTGGCATTAAGTATTTCTATTGTGCAGCCACCACTATCATCCATCTCCAGAACTCATCTTGAAAATAGAAACTCTTCATATGAAACAGTAATTCCCCATTGCCCTCTCCCTCCAGCCCCTGGCATCCAACATTCTACTTTCCATCTCCATAAATTTGACTACTCTAGGACCTCATGTAAGTGGAATCATACAGTATTTATCCTTTGATGACTGGCGTATTTCACTTCACATAACATCTTTGAGGTTTATCCATGTTATAGCATGTGTCAAATTTTCTTTTTTTTCCCCTTAGAGACAGGGTCTCCCTTGCTACCCAGGCTGGAGTGCAGTGGTGTGATCATGGCTCACTGCAGCCTTGACCTCCCTGTGCTCAGATGATTCTCCTACCTCAGCCTCCCAAGTAGCTGAAACTACAGGCACACACTCACTACCATGCCCAAATAATTTTTGTATTTTTTGTAGAGACAGGGTTTCACCATGTTGCCCAGGTTGGTTGCGAACTCTTGAGCATAAGTGATTCTCCAACTGTGGCCTCCCAAAGTGCTGAGATCACGGGTGTGAGCTACCACACCCAGCCAGATTTCCCTTTTTATGCTGTGAATATATTCCATTGTATGTATGTACCGTGTTTTGTTTATCCATTCATCTGTCAGTAGACACTTGAGTGGCTTCCACCTTTTGGCTGTGGTGAATAATGCTCCTATGAATAGGTGTACAATTAGCTGTTGGAGTCACTGCTTTCAATTCTTTTGGGTATACACTAACAGATAGCATTTGCTAGATCATATAGTCATTCTATTTTTAATTATTTGAAGTCTCACCACATTGTTTTCCACAGCAGCTGCACCATTTTACATTCCTACCAGCAGTGCACAAAAGTTCTGATTTCTCTACATCCTTGTTAACACTTATTACTTTGTTTTTTGAATAGTAGCAATCTTTATAGGTGTGAGGTGGCATCTCATTGTGGTTTTGACTTACATTTCTGTAATGATT